GATAAGAGACGAAGTAAGGAGTAAGTTAAAGTTAGTTATAAGACTAAGAGACGTGAGGAGAGAGAGAGAGAAAGAGAGAGAGAGAGAAAGAGAGAGAATAAGGAAATGAAAAAAGAAGATAGGGAGAGAGGGAAGTATATAACTTTGTAGAGAGATAATTTCTTTTTTTATGGGTTCTTTTATGTCATTTATTTATCTTATTTTGTGTTTAACTTAAAGGGGAGAGAGAATTGAGTAAATTTGATATTCTGAAAATATATTTGGGGGGTGGATTTCCTTGTTGACCTTGAGAGGGGGTACTTTTTCTCAACCTTTTATTTTATTTTTATTTTTTGGTTTGTTACTATTTCTTCTTGCATAAGATATGCAACCAATAGTAGCTCGTGTATGCAATAATCCAAGCACTTGTAATGCTCAATGGTAATATGGATGGTAAAAACACTACACTTGTCCTCCAATTCCAACATAAGTGATAGACGGGATGTATATCATAATGGTTCCTAATAGGAGTATAACCAAATGGACTTAAGCATATACTGCCATGAATCACAACTTTGTACCCATTAAAGTACACATTAAGTGACAAAGCTTGAGGGTTTTATTCAAGCTTTCCCTCCTTATGTCTTTGATGTGGGATAAATTTTTCTCACCACAAGCCCTTTCTCCTTTTATGCCTAAGTTGCTCCAATAGTTCTCTTTCTCTCTCTCTCTCTCCCCCCTAACAACCTCTCTCTTCTTTACTAACAATCCATCACTCTTAACTAACAACTTCTCTCTACAAAATTTGTTCATTAAAAAATTTACTAATTCTCTCTCTCTCTCTCTCTCTCTCTCTCTCTCTCTCTCTCTCTCTCTCTATTAAGTGGAATTATTCAGGACTCTGCATGTTGCTTTGGAGAAGTTTGGATCAATCATAATATCTTTAGACATATTTGGGTTGGTTTTCCAAATTTTGGGAAATATAATTAGGTTTTGCAAGGTTCACATAGATTTGGTCATTTATAAATATTCTATAGGGATTCCTAGGAACTATGGACTACTAGACTATGGGGTACTATGGTCTACAAAGCTAGTGTGGTCCTTAGGATTCGGAACTACAGGATTCTAGGAATTCCCTCAACCAAACTTTTAGGCAGGTGTCTACATGGTTTTCCTTGTTCATCATCTCGTAAATGTTGACGTCTATCCCTTTAGTCACTATAACGATGATGAGACCACCCAAAGTTCATTGTTTAGATCATTTTTAGGTTTATTAAATCTAATGTTTAACTATAGAATTATACATTTCTATTTGCTCATGCCATGCTTTAAGGGAGGTCAGTCCTTAAATAGATCATGTGTAGACCACCTCATGTTAAGGAAAATGTAACCTTCACTCACTTTTTTCTTCTTTTTTCTTCGTACTTTCTTATCGGTTTTAAGTTATAATAGAATTCCTAGACGCTCTTTTGCTCGCTCAATGCATACACACTTCTCTAACTGACTCTATTGCTGACCGATTATGTTGTGGTTTGAAGCAAGCAATGAGAAAAGTTTAATAGTGACTTGTCTAGCCAGATATTTACGAGCCAACCGCCTGTAGAGAGAAAGAATGGGAAGAAGAATAACTAATACCTCTAAAAGCAGAAGAGCATATTGCCTTTGAAGAAGAGCCCACTACCTATGAACAAGATATTGAGATTTGCCTACTGCCTTAAAAAAAACAAAAACAAGTTGCCCTCTTTTTCCTACTGACTTGGTTGCTCTCTATTTCCTCTATTACCAATGTTGACTCTACTTTAGGCTACGGTCTTTACTCGCCTTTTTTCACTCCCTAAAAAAACCCTCACTCATATATACTATGGTAAGAGCTCCATAACTGATATGAGTAGCTATTACGAAAGATCACACTCGCTCTTACCTCCGCACTGTGCGTATTCATTTAGGGTTTGATGGTCAAGCTTGACATCCAACCTTGTTTGTCTACAATATTACT